ATGCTATTCACCAATGCCTTGCATTGAATGACCACATGATGCAATTCACCAATGTATTGCAGTTGATATGACCTCATGGTGCAATTCATCAATGCATTGCAGTCTATATGACCTCATGATGCAATTCACCAATGCATTGCAGTTGATATGACCACATGATGCTATTCACCAATGTATTGCAGTTGATATGACCTCATGATGCAATTCACCAATGCATTGCATTGAATGACCACATGATGCAATTCACCAATGTATTGCAGTTGATATGACCTCATGGTACAATTCATCAATGCATTGCAGTTTATATGACCTCATGATGCAATTCACCAATGCATTGCAGTTGATATGACCTCATGATGCAATTCACCAATGCATTGCAGTTGATATGACCTCATGATGCAATTCACCAATGCATTGCATTGAATGACCACATGGTGCAATTCACCAATGTATTGCATTGAATGACCTCATGATGCTATTTGTGTCAATCACAGCATATTTTGTCATTTTACTTGTGTCTACCATTTACATATGGAGAATAGATGAAAAGCAGCATTTTCATTAAACCATATGATACACATAATAACACTATCCACAGATCCATAGAGTTTCGAAGGATTTATATAATTGGTAGAAGAGAGTTAAAAGAGAATAGTTAAAATCAATATCTCTAACAGCAAAATCATCCACATGCACAAACTATGATGACTTAACAAATGTGCTGGTAATTGTGATTCAATGTCAAGTACATCATTTGTTTGATAAGCATAAACTTGATTCCACTATTGGCTGTGCAATTCTGTGTCTCATTGTAACACCAATAAAGGTCAAACTTATATGTAATCAATAAAACTAAGCAGTTATTGAGCTACATGTCTACGTGAGGAAAGTACTGAAACAAGATAATCAATAACAGGTAGGAAAATGCTGTGTTGTCATGACAACGAGCAACAGCTGTACTCTGTTCTTGTATAGTCAACCTATCACTGATAACACCCACAGACCTATTCAGACTGACATCAGAGTTTCCTTTTTCAAAAAATAGCTGAACTAAAACAGTATCTTTGATGTCTTTCAAAGAGTTGTCATGGCAACATCACACTTTGTTGATTATAAAATTATTTTTAATACCCAGCAATACAAACATTTAGTTAATCAGAAATTAGTACAAAATGTAAATATACATATGATCATACATGTAGTTGTCATGAATATAGTAGTATGTTTATTATCATGATATTAAGTAACACCACTCATCCTACAACAGATTTAAAACTTATTCCAAAACACACTGCTGAGAGAGTGTATATTTTTTTCATAAATTCAATATTTTTATCTTCATATAAGAAAAAAAGAAGCTTAATATTATTATAATTATTATAGTACTTTAATTTGTATTCTCTCTATCTGATTAGGCATAAATTTATGCAATAACACGTAAGCACTTATATAACAATTTGTGTCTATTGGGATTTGGTATTTTTTTCTTGTTGTTCTCATAGCAACTATATGAAGTCATTTATTGTCTTACTTACTAATCTGTTTTTGGTTCTGTGCATATCTCCCTTTCTGCCAAAAAAATTAGAATTACTAGTGCTGAATTTTTTCAATGATAATCATTGCTCAAAGTGCATGTTAATTATTTTAAGTATTTGTTTAATTTTACATAGATTCTTTATTTCAGCTTTGTCAAATAATTGCATTGCAAGAATTGTTTGCATTTTTTATGATTATTGTTAATATTTTTAATCCACAACTTTATGTACTGTATTTGTATGTGTTTTCGTAACATTTGTTATATGGAACACAGCTACAGTCGTTTTTATGTCAATAAAATGTAAATAAAATTGTGCTGTTGCAAAAACTCTTGCGAGAGTATACTTATAGCCATTGTCTCTAAATCTCTCATAGTATATAATAAGTACTTTCATACTTCCATGTACTATGCATATATTAAAATATAATCAAACTACCACAAGCTAACAAATATTAAATTTCTATTTATGATTATTTAAATATTATGGTTTGACAAGGTTGTATTTAATAAAAACATGTTTTACTCACAGTTCTGCCCGAGGTGTCCCACATGTCCAGACCAAGAATCTTCTCATCTGGACTCAATTCTCTCTCAAGCAGTACTTCTGGAGAAAAAAAAACACAGAACTTATGGATTTAATTAATTTTTCAGATATGGTTGATACTTTCCTGGAAAAAACGAGCAGACTGTTAGTTAATATAACTTCATTGTTTGTGATGCTTTGTAAAAAAAAAAAGCATTTTTCAAGGTCAATTAAATGTAGTTATTAATCTTTCCAATGAGAAATATTACAGCTGTTTTAAAAGTTGTAATAATTATTGATTAAATGTGAACCACAGCTACCATAGTAACCAGAAAAAACATGATTATATATGAATAATGTTATATATTTTTTGTGGAGAAAGGAGGATTTACAGTGAGAAAGTAAAGTTGCATAAGATCAATGAATTTGATATCACTAGTACAAAGGTATGTAATTTTGAAATGATTCAAGTATTATCCAATTCGCAATCAGTTTTGTGCCTAGAAGTGTCCAAGTAAAGAATTACCACCTGTTTTTAATTGATTTATATATGTGAATACTATGTAGATAATTTGAAACATTTTATTTTCATGTTGAAGTGACAGCATTGGGTTACTCACCGTTTGCTACACCGTGAAATGGATTCCATAACTCAACATTAACTCCATCCGTGGGGTGATCCACAAGCTTAGCAGTATCCGTGATTAATGACTGCACCAAACTACTTTTTCCGCTTCCCTGGTTTCCAAGAAACAACACACGCAGTCGGTATCCAAGATGCCTTTTCCTATAGAAATCAGTGATTCCGTCTACATCCTTGTTAATAATCTCAGGGGGTGGGAATGACAGCTCCTTGCACATTTTCACATCAAACTGCACTAAGAATGCCAATCGGAGAATAGTGATGGGAATTTTCTTTACTCCAGTGTTGTGGAAATTGACATTTTGGAGAAGGCCGCAGTGAAGTGTCAAAGCCCGTAGTGAAGCATCAGTGATCTGTTTGCAGTTCTCAACGCTGATGAATTCCAATAAAGTACAGTGTTCAGCTAGATATTTGACACTTTGATCAGTCACATTTACACAATTCCCTACATCGACATGCTGTAGATTTATACACTTTTCTGATAAAGCTTTCAAACCTTTGTCTGAAATGGACGTACTGTTGAATGCCACACTGCGAAGAAGCCGACAGTTAGTTGCCAGCCCGATCAGGCTTCCATCAGTCACATGAGCACATGAACTAAAATCGATTGCGTTTAAACTTTCATGAAAACATTCGGCAACATAACTAATTCCAATATCAGTTATTCCTTTGAAACCAACAAAGGTTGTGGCTAGAAGATCTGATGTAAAATGACCAACAAGCACACTTAGAACGTCATCAACTAGTGGCCAATCTGTACCATTTTCGTATATGAAGGCAATTGACTGCAACTTTTTACAATGCTTCCCCAGTGAAATGATAGACTTTTGACCCAAATTATTACACCCGATGAACTTCACATGCTGCAGCTCTTTGCAGCGATTGGCAATGACTTCCACAGCCGCATCAGTGAATTTATACAATTTACGTGCCTCCAACGTACGTAGCTTTCGGTTTATGACGTGAATGAATTGAAGAACGCTGTTATCATCAATACACAGACATTCATCCAACACTAGATTATCCAAGGCAGGTGCTTCAAGCAGACTTTCCTGTAGCAGAGTAAGCAATGAAAGAAACAATATTGTCAATAGTAGTTGGCATGTACCATTCCATCATGGGGGTGTAAGCTAGTGATGAGTAGTACTTCAACATGTCAATCACATGAACTTGTGTTGTCAAGGTCTTAGTTCAAACCAAATGTACATTGCATTATGGGTGAATAAAACCTATTCCACACAACAAAAATATAATCATTTTTTTGAAAAAATTACTGAATTAAATATAATTATTTTTTTTAAATTTGTATTTTTAGATTTTATACAACAATATACACATTTTTTACCTCATATGTCACCAAACAAAATTTCAAGATGTGAAGAAATACTTTTACTTAAGAAACCATTGCATTAACAACTATGTCATTTTTTTAGTTCTCTATAATTAATATTTATACATTGTAGTATTGACAATTTTAAATAATTACATTATTATATAATTTTCATTTCGTTTCAAACCTGAAGTCGCAAGCTATTCAATTTGAGTCACAAAAAGCAAAACAACATTATGTCCATATTTATGTCACAAACACATGTACTGTATTTGCTCTATTAGTAACGCATACAGTTTAATACGTAAATGTGAAAGGTATTTCTATGGTCAAAATAAGTAATATTTTAATGATTCAGTATTCAACAAATGTAAGTTTTTGTTTATCTGCGCTTCTATTGGAGATGTGCTTCTAATAGAGTAAATACAGTATAAATAATAATTAAAAAATTGTGTATTATATATGAAAACAAAATATGTAAAATTTTATAGTATCGGTATTATACTCTCTTGAACCTTTAATTAATAAAAACACTTAATACTTATATATTCTCAATATTTGAAGTATTAGAACCTGTATTTTATGTATTCTCAATATTTGAAGTATTAGAACCTGTATTTTATGTATTCTCAATATTTGAAGTATTAGAACCTGTATATTATGTATTCTCAATATTTGAAGTATTAGAACCTGTATTTTATGTATTCTCAATATTTGAAGTATTAGAACCTGTATTTTATGTATTCTCAATATTTGAAGTATTAGAACCTGTATTTTATGTATTCTCAATATTTGAAGTATTAGAACCTGTATTTTATGTATTCTCAATATTTGAAGTATTAGAACCTGTATTTTATGTATTCTCAATATTTGAAGTATTAGAACCTGTATTTTATGTATTCTCAATATTTGAAGTATTAGAACCTGTATTTTATGTATTAGAAGCATTGGGCTAGAACCTGTAGGCTCCTTAAGTCACAGTGATTCACAGTAATTAGTGTAGGTATTGGCTGTCCATTTATACATTCATGGTCCATTCCATTTTGTATTCCCATGCAGTCCTGTAACTTCTTTATTTGATTTACTGATTGAATACAAATAATAGATTCAATCTGTCTTCACTCATAAATGAAATGTTCTTGACAGGTTTAGGCCACACATTTCACGACCTTTCTATTTTCTCATATGATCCTAACAAATCATAAAATATGCACTTGCTACATGTACGCGTCAGTTTGATGATGATGAATGTAAGTTTTAGTACCTGGCACTTTGCCAACTCACATGTGCTCTTAAAAATATATCGATTTTGAAAATATGATCATAAAAAAAATCCATTACTCAAATCCATTTTTTTAATGGATGATATTATCAGAAATGTTTAATCGGCTGCAAAGACAAATATAAAAGTATTTTATTGGTCCATAATATTACAAAATACAGTAATAAATGGAGTATATAACAAATTGTGTTAGTAAAGTAATAAGCAAAATTATTGATGTCACATTCTAACATTTTCTTTTGTTTACATCGGATGTTGAAAAGATACAACATGTGACAGAAATATAATACTGACATGAATCTCAATAAACGTTTTCATTTTGGGCTACGCGTCATTCGATAACATTCGACTGCATGAAATATGCTGCACTGTATGAAGCTGTAAAATCGACTGCAACAAATATATTGCACTGTGTGGAGCTGCATAATCGACTGCATTAAATATGCTGCACTGTGTGGAGCTGTAACATTGACTGCATTAAATATGCTGCACTGTGTGGAGCTGCATAATCGACTGCATTAAATATGCTGCACTGTGTGGAGCTGTAACATTGACTGCATTAAATATGCTGCACTGTGTGGAGCTGCATAATCGACTGCATTAAATATGCTGCACTGTGTGGAGCTGTAACATTGACTGCATCAAATATGCTGCACTGTGTGGAGCTGTAACATTGACTGCATTAAATATGCTGCACTGTGTGGAGCTGCATAATCGACTGCATCAAATATATTGCACTGTGTGGAGCTGTAAAATTTACTACATCAAATATACTGCACTGTGTGGAGCTGTAAAATTTACTACATCAAATATACTGCACTGTGTGGAGCTGCAGAATTGACTGCTTCAAATATACTGCACTGTGTGGAGCTGCAGAATTGACTGCATCAAATATGCTGCACTGTGTGGAGCTGCATAATCGACCGCATTAAATATGCTGCGCTGTGGAGCTGAAGAATCGACTGCATCAAATATGTTGCATCATGGAGCTGCAGATTTGACTGCATCAAATATGCTGTATCATGGAGCTGCAGAATTGACTGCATCAAATATGCTGCATCATGGAGCTGCAAAACTGACCGCATCAAATATGCTGCGCTGTGGAGCTGCAAAACTGACTGCATCAAACATGCTGCATCAAGGAGCTGCAGAATCGACTGCATCAAATATACTGCACTGTGTGGAGCTGCAGAATTGACTGCATCAAATATTCTACACTGTGAAGCTGCAAAACTGACTGCATCAAATATGCTGCATCAAGGAGCTGCAGAATCGACTGCATCAAATATACTGCACTGAGTGGAGCTGCAGAATCGACTGCATCAAATATGCTGCACTGTGTGGAGCTGCAGAATCGACTGCATCAAATATGCTGCACTGTGTGGAGCTGCAGAATCGACTGCATCAAATATGCTGCACTGTGTGGAGCTGCAGAATCGACTGGCATCAAATATGCTGCACTGTGTGGAGCTGCAGGATTGACTGCATCAAATATTCTACACTGTGAAGCTGCAAAACTGACTGCATCAAATATGCTGCATCATGGAGCTGCAGAATCGACTGCATCAAATATACTGCACTGTGTGGAGCTGCAGAATTGACTGCATCAAATATTCTACACTGTGAAGCTGCAAAACTGACCGCATTAAATATGCTGCGCTGTGGAGCTGAAGAATCGACTGCATCAAATATGCTGCACAGTGGAGCTGCAGAATCAACTGCATCAAATATGCTGCACAGTGTGGAGCTGCAGAATCGACTGCATCGAATATGCTGCATCAAGGAGCTGCAGAATCGACTGCATCAAATATACTGCACTGTGTGGAGCTGCAGAATCGACTGCATCAAATATGCTGCACTGTGTGGAGCTGCAGAATCGACTGCATCAAATATGCTGCACTGTGTGGAGCTGCAAAATCGACTGCATCAAATATGCTGCACTGTGTGGAGCTGCAGGATTGACTGCATCAAATATTCTACACTGTGGAGCAGCAAAACTGACCACATCAAATATGCTGCGCTGTGGAGCTGCAAATCGACTGCATCAAATAATATGCTGTGCTGTAGAGCTGCAGAATTGACTGCATCAAATATTCCACACTGTGTCCAGTATCACCAATATATGCCCAACTTGTGTTAATATGGTAGAACAATTAATATAATTGTATAATTATAATGAACCTCATTGGTTGTGTGTGAAAAAATAGGTGACATAGGGTGTTTGCAGCAATAAAGATATTTTTTTTAAAACTATTTAGGTTGAATGTACTTAAAATTCAGAACAAAAAAAATGTAAATAAATTACTAAAGATCTAATTTCTAATTTTTGTCACAGCTGAAATAAAGTTTCATATTTCTTATTGAACTAAATTATCTTAATGCGAAAGTAAACACAAGAAACGACAAATGTTATTGTCAGCCGGAACTTTAATTTTATGTGACAGCGGAGATATTTCCGGTTCATATTTTTGAAAATTCAAAAAGAAATAAAACTCATCTTCCATGAATTAATTGAGATGCGCCATGGGAGTACCACCATGTCGTTGACTTTCGTGAAAAATAACGTACCGATCGTCAACGAAAAGACCGACCAATGCATAATTCTCTTTCAATCGTATTTCTGAAATGCTATCATTGACATTTTTGTACCTATTGACTTCTCCATTTTACGTCTAATTCAGAGCTTTTCCAGCTTCAATCTTATGCCGAACATTTACTAACAGAAGTATTACTAGTATGTAGTGAGATCCGGAGTGAAGTTTGCGAAATGACAAATAATTCGGGAACAGAATTTATTTTGGCCGTCCAAACAGAACAACTACATGCGTCAAGATTGCGGTATACATACATTACAACATGATTATGATTGGTGCGTGCAGTGAAAAACTGATTTTTAGATTTAGAATATAAAGATGCACTTAACCTCGCTAAGTTTGTGATTATGATGCTCCAAACAATTCGGTACTGTTCAAAGGACTGCATGTTGCCCCAGAAGTTTCGCCTGCCTAACCAGGCCCGCCTGCCCGCCAAAGGTTGTCAAATCTATACACCACCGAGTCACCGATCAGTTCAGTACAGCTGATAGTACCAAACACAAATTAACGAACAGTATTATTATTATAGCTAAAGAGGGCGCTATAATGGTCTTTACCGCCATCGGCCAATTGCAGTTAAACGGTAATTATATCAAATTTTATTACTAGTACGCAACTAAAGTAAAACCTTCAGAAAATATTGTAGGTTGATTATAAAATTTCTAAATATTTGTAACATCTCATTATGAAAAAAGTACCAATCCCAATGA